AGAATGGCACACCCCACCGAGCGGCAAACATGGGCACCCTGGGGGCGGGGTGTCGGGCCGACTGGACCGGGGCCACGGGGTTTTCCAGAGGGCCTGTCTTGCTCCTGGTACAGGCGAAGTGAGCTGGACCTGGCCTGGGCAGACCGATTGACCGCCAGTTGACCCCCTCGGACTCTCCCCCTCCGCGAGCCCGTACCCAACGGCCCATGATAGACGGACACATGGACGAAAATATGCACAAATGGACAGACGGTAAGACGGAAATACGAACAGATGCACATGTGCATAGACTGACAAATGGACAGACGGACAATTGAACAAACGTGGATACGGACAGACATACAGACAGACAGATGCATTCACAGACATACCGACAAGCGGACAGATGAATAAACATACAGACGGATAGCCAGATAGCTCTTCCGTATATTGGCATTGATCGGTGTTCTATCAGTCGGTAAAGTGTGCCGCGGGCGCAGAAAGTTGCTAAAAATGTGCATCTGCCTGTGTCTGTGTCCATGTGGGTCTGTAGCTCTCTAGGCGTTGGGTAAAGGGCGCCCAAGACCTCGGCGATGCCAGCGACTGGGAAGGATTTGCCGTCTAATTAATGCAACACGATCATACTAACGGCAGTGTTGGTACCTGTATTATCGCCTCTCCGGTAAATGGTGTTCGTTGCTAGGGTTGTTTGATATTCTCTTGGTCTCCAAGACCTCGAATTTTCGGCCAGTTTTGTGTCTACACCCTTCGGATCTCCCCACTCGTAAGGCTTGTCGGGATGCCACCAGACACCAGCCTCGTCAACTCGTCATCCTGCGCCACGAGGCTGTCTGGTGCTACTGCTGCCACAGCGTGAGACAGTCGTCATGGTAAACAGAAGGGCGGAGTGCCGGAGAGCCCAGTGGAGAAAGATTACAATTTTTATCCTTACCTTCGCCCTCGACTCCAGTTGGAGGCAGATAATTATAGATTTTTCAGAAAATCGAACTACCTTCAGGATCCAGATTTAGACAAAGTTTGTTTCACCTCCTAGTGTGCACAATCTCTCTCTCTCTCTTGCTCTTTTTCTCTTTTTCTCTTTTACTCTTTCTCTTCCTGGTGTTCATCCTCGAGGCAAAAGCAGAATGATACCATAATTGAGTAGTGCTGCTGTTTGTGTGCACTGATGCGTCATGAGGCCAAACACAAAAGAGCCGAATTCCATGCTGTGAATGTGTTTGTAGAGGACAAGTGAGACAGACTTTTGGGTTGGGAGAAGAACGACACACGTGTCGGTGGGTGGACGGGGAGGCTGGTGGGCCTGGGGATGAGTATGATTAGTGGACGCTCAGTCCACCGCCATGGCAACCTCGGCCGAGTCGGCTCGAGGAGCCGCCGTCGTGACGGGTGACGTGACTTGATTCATCCGCACTCTTTTCTGAGAAACTGGGTCGGGACGGCTACGTGAATTGGCCCCAACGATGGGCGAAATCGGAGACTGTTGGATGCTGCCAACAAGTCCTGTGACCTCCTGATCCCTCCGCGGTGGGCCTTTGTCTGACCTGCTGTCAGATCGAGCAGGCCCAGTTTATGAGAAGCCACTTCACTAGAAGGAGCCACGTGAACGCTGGCCGATCGCAGGCCTACTCACATCGCGTACTCCATTTTGTGATCTTAATGAGGCACCTCGTGATCTGTTTGGCTTCCTCTTGCCTGCCCCATACACACTTGCACAAGGGTGACGTTTATGCACAAAAAGGGGATGAATCTGGTCTCAGCTCTTTCCTTGCACAACTAAACTGGCATTTGGTTATATCATTTTACGCATGTTTAAGCACATGTTGGTCGTACGAATATTGTATACGAAGAAAAGTTGGGTTTCGAGGACTCTCTTGTTTCATAATTGTTGGGATTACTTCCATTTCGAGTGAAAGTGTTGGGTGAAGAGATTCGTAGGTCGGTTCCACCAGAAGACAACGGCGAATTCCTCTTGACCAGCTGTCGATTGGCTTTACTGGAAGATT